ATTCAAATAAGTTCTAATGTCTCGTATTGGTTTTAAATATGTATATAAATTTTTACTATTCTTTTAAAGTTATAAACTTTTATTTTATATGTGTTTACATAAGTTTTGGAAGGAAATTTTCAATAATTTTTTTAAAGTTAAGAGGGATTACTTATATATTCTGAAAAACTGTTGTTTCATACCACAAAACTAGCTATTCGTAAAAAAATAAAAATGAATATATCTGAATAAAATTATACCACACGTATAATTGCAAATGCAAATATTGCCTTTATCCATAAAACTATGGGCAAATTTTGAACAACTTCAGCTTCTATCGTCACAAAGTTTTTGCACCTTGCCATTTCAAGCAATTGATGTTAGTTTACCTCGTGTTTACCTGTTATGTAAATATTACATCATGAAATTTAATCTAGTCAAGTGTAAAATATATCATCCGCGAAACGTTTGACTATCACTTACGTTTAAACTGGTGACATTATGAAGCGAAGTTCCGTTCGGCGTTAATGCACCGTAACCACTCGACGACGTAATCGCTACTTGACGAAAATCAAGTGAGAGCATGTCACCGCCAATGGCGGTTTAATTTCGACCAGAACTATATACAGGCAACATGCCAGATCGAACGTCATTGCACTAAATCCATTTAATTAACAACAACATTGCACACGATCAAGTAATTTGGAGCTGATGTAAAAATTAATTGAATTTTGATTTAAAAAAAAAATTTCGAGTTTCTAAATTATAAACATTTTGCTTCTAAATTATATACATTCGTATATATATATATTCGCATTATATACAATACTTGTCTATAGGGTCCATTGGTGGCAAAATCGAATCGAAGGTGGGCTAGCCCAAACTAGTCCCTGGTTCGCCGGTTTGATCCCAATCACTACCAACTCCGACTTTAGGCAGCTTTGATGTCAAATTTCCACTTGAGCTTATAGATCTCAAATATAATCTCAAGTGAAAATTGCCTCTCGTGGATATAGCTGCATATAAATATAATAAGTCAACAAATACTTCGAGAATAGTTAATTAGTCACAATTGGATTGGACAACTACTGTGTTGCCTTTATTGTTATAGTCATATAATAAAGTCAAAAAAACTCCTAATGTCCCAGTATGACATATTGTAATTAATAATATAAAAAATAGTTATGTATACATTTTAACTACTTGATAAGATATTATTAAAGTTTCAAGTTTGCACATATAATGTATCATACATAAGTGCATTTTGAACTATGTTTTATAGTTTTACACCTTGACATTTTCTTCGGTCGAAGCATATCGTTCTGGTGCTTTCCGTTCGTTTTAGTAAGTTTATAGTTTATAGTTTTATAGTAAGAGCTTATTACAACAGTTTTATTTAAATTAATATATCGTAAAATCCACGACGATTAGATGATGTAACTACTATCCAAAAGAAAGACAATTGAATGATGGAACTTTTTTTCTAAGATTGTTTGTTATTTCACAATTAGTAATTTCGTGTTACTATTAGTTACTAGAAAAGTGTGGTGTTACAAGCTTACCCCGTGTTTGAGGTTAGTAGTAACACTTACTTATGACAAAAAACACCTCTGATCATTAAATTTTTACTTATTCTTACAGTTTATGAATCACGAAAATTGTTACACATTATCAAAGATTGATAAATTTAAAACTAAATAAAAGATATAAAATTTTAAATTAGTAGATTATAATAAGACAAACCGATATTTCTTGTTAGTTTCATTTTATAACAACTGCAAAAATGACACACCTGCACAATTCTGTTTACTGCCTTGGCCTGCGGGACAGTAGATATGTTAATACTATTCAGCACAGTTTACATGTCCAATGGAAACAAAAAATTATCATAAAATTGTCTAAGATTCTATTAAAACGCGACTGTTACTAATTACTTACCCCTGTTACAATAAGCTTCTAGCTCCCCTACTTCAATGTAGATTCAACCTTTTTAATAAATTCTGCTTCGGGAAAGTTGATGTTTTCGTCAGAAAATCCGATTTGCTCACTTTATGTATTCTCAACCTTCGAAATTATTATGAATCATTTGAGACCAAAGTTGGAAAAAGTATTTGTATGTGTATGTAGACCAAAATTTGATTTGTTAACGTTTTCTTAAAAATGGCTGCGACGATTTCACGAATTTAAGAGCCATTTGTTGTAACTTGATAACAATTCGTTTTGATTAGTTTTGCGAAATGATCTGTTGAGTCGTTTTTTTTTAATTTGCAAAATCGATTTTAAAAATTCGAAAACTATTCAAAATATAAAATATAGATCAGTTGGAAAATGTTCTGATTGTTGTTGGTCAAGATGTTTCTTTGTAATTATTCATTTAGAAAGATTTTTTGACTGTTTTAACACAATTTTAGGTTTAATTGGACTAAATAACTTTTTAACTGAATAATTTAAATTTACTTAAAAAAATAGATTATTTTACATATTTAAATATGTTCGTATTGTTAATTATTTCATAAGTCTCATAATATTTGATGAGATTCCAAATAACATCGAATTTAGCCTAAACGAATTCAAATATCTCTCATGGAATTATAAATTTTAAACCATTATCATTTTTTGTACACTTTTAGTATTAAGTAATGTGTTATTAAAATTGAGTAATATAACTTTATGTAGGTACTTCATGTCGAGTCATAATATTGGTATAGGAGTACTAAAAATAAGAGGTCAATAAATATTTACCATAAAAATGAATTATCTTCACTTCTTTACTTAGGAAGTGTATTTATATTTTACGTTACATTAAAAACAAACTTATAATTTTGTGAAACTTTAATAAATATATTAATATATTAATATTATATGTAACTTTTGAAATTTATTTTAATAATGACTGAAGATGATAACAAAATCAAATATAGAAAATAATTTGATTTTTATAACAATAGTAATATTTTTATTAGGCCGATTTCAATAAAAGTGCGCAAAATTCAAATGATTTAAAAATAATGTGCTTATAAAACTTTATAAGATATATGATTAAAATTTTGTATTTAAATAGGACGTGTGAATATTTTTACGAAATATTTTATTTGAAAAATATCTATTTGATTTTTTGTTGAATTTATGAGTGTTTGGGTGTTTAAAAAACAGGTCTATGTCGAATTATGCTTCAAGTTTTAATACGCTTATTAGTACTCTGAAAAATTTATGTTCTTGCTATGACTGATGAACAAAGTCATACAAATTCATTATAATTAAATTACCCGACTCCTTTCGTTTGCAAAATAAAATCAAAAAAATTAGGCATTGCAAAATGATGTGCTCAAAACAAGAAATAGACATGTGTAATCCTAATAATATTTTATTTCTTATTTATTGGCCCTAAAACAATCCCAAGAACAGATCTAAGGAGATGTATGTTTGAAACTCCCACGCAGGTTCCCACATAATAACTTTGAGGGTTTAATAGGTCTGGAGTCTAGACTGTCAAAGCGAAATTCATTTTAAATCGCTTCCAATCCGATATTTATTAAACCTAAATACCACTAATTTAAAATACATTCTTTGTACGTGAGATTATTTCTGTTTTTTTTTTGTTGAAATCATGTTTAATTAATAAATGGAATAAATATGTAGATTTATTTTTAAATTCGTTCAATAAAAAATAAGATGGATCATAAACCTAAATACACAGTATTTTTGTATTCATCGTATGTAAAAGATTGTATCGTATCGTATCGTATGTATGTAAAAGATATAATTAATCGTAGATTTAGTTAGTTTTGAGAACTAATTAAAATATCAAAATAATGGTCCAATTTGACTTTAAGCAATTATATTGTGGAAACCAAAACAATTATATTTACAATAAAAACAGTTATCAAATAAACCACTATCTGACTATGTTCAGTAAAACTTCCAACTAATTCATTATTTTCGTAATATTGTTTCATTGCTGTTGTTTTAAAAAAATCAATGTGGTCCTTTTTACCCCATGGACCCCATAGGAATTAAGACAGAATAATAGCTGCATTATTCAACCAATGCCAATATAAATTTCATGGATACATTTTTACAGAGATTATACCTGTATATAACCTTGATCTGGTATTTTCTCAAAAATACTCATTATCATAATCAGAATAACTATATATTTAATTTGTCTCTTGTAAAATTGCTAGTTATAACTTAATATACTTTTTTATTTATTATTGGTTACACCTTTGCCTGGGTAAAGGTTTAGTTGATCCTTTTACCTCAACCACGTGTTACCTTTTATAGAGGTTAAATAAGAAAACTGTTGAATCTAACTTGAAATTAAAAATACATCTTGCTTAAACGTATACTTTTAACTTAATTAATTCAAAGTCTCATAAACTAAACGACAGTGTTCACAACTAAAAAAATCAAAAACGAATGAAAATATTTTTCTCATGGACTTTCAAACATTGGCGTTTCTCTTCAACGCAAACAACGTCAAAAGAGTCAATTAAATGGCTTGTTATACATCTTTTTCCCTTTACTTTCAAATATTGTTATTAAAAAATCAGTTGTAATATATGCTTATATTAGCTAAAAAATAAAAGGTAGTAATAACATTTTTTAATGTTATGAAATATACGAATGTTTTTTATCTGTTATCTTACTAGCGCAATTTACTCTGTATTTGACGAATATACTCGTCATGAGCTCGATTCGGTCGACACAAAACTGTGCGCACTGTTCGATTAGAGCGCCACAGTTACCTGATTAAATATAAAATACTATTGAAAAATATAAAAGTAATTTTACCATATGTTGCAGAGTTTAAGCGGATGTGTTTTCTTCAGCCATAGAATATAATGCATAGCATAAGTAAATGCTTAAAGTTACCGGCTATATTAACTTTGTATTATGTTCCATTTGCTATGTAGATGTACAATTTATAAACATATCTTCATTCCGCATAAGAATACTCTATAATTGAAAGTTTCACCTTGAATATAAATATAAGCATGTTTTTTTTTATTTTTTCTCAGGTCTGACAGGCGACAGGTTTCGATTCGACTCGAATGGGGACGGTCCGGCCAGATACAACATTATTCATTTCAAGCAAATCAGTCCTGGCAAGTACCGGTGGATACGAGTCGGCGAGTACTACGAGGGCGAATTGCGACTTAACATGTCAGGTACGGTTCTAAGTATAAAACTTACTAAATGTACAGTTTCGATACTTTCACTTTTGAATACATTGCTGAATAGTATTTTTAGCTTTATAACATTGGTTCAGGGCTCACTCGTGGGTAGGTACTAGAGCGACTATTCCTGAATCAGAGGTACCGGGTTTGATCCCGCTTCAGGGAGCCTGATGTTAGGCAGTAGTGACACTTGGAAATACAGATAGCAAAATATTTCCATATGAAAATAGCCAATATCCGTCATTGCTGCATCAATGAAATATTCTATTACAAAAATTGTAATACATTATAACATTTGTCACACAGGGATGAGATAACTGTTTGGATTGCTATCTGTAAAACCAAAGTGGAATCAAGTCAAATTAGCCCAGCAGCTTACAGAACTCATAAGTTTTGTTGGTTGTTCCAAACAATAAAAAAATATTATTATTATTTGAATTTTTTTCATGTTTATAAGTTTTTTGGGCCCAACGGTGCTAGCACAAACATCAGCAGCATAATATCAAATTCTCACTTTAGGTTATAAATCTCAAATACATGAGTGTATCTGCCGTAAAATATACATGGCAAAGCTATGTTACCTTCCTGTTTTCATACAAAATGCTACCGGATATTGTCAAAATGCCATATATTTGCTGTACGATCAGACCTTTTGCACTTTAAATGCAATCTCACTCATATGTTATTAAGCCATATCTCAAGATTCAGTTATGAAACGTCTGACTGCACAACAACCACATAGGATTTTGATAGTTTTTAGTAGAACTTTATATGAAAACTGCTACATAACACTGCCTTGCCATAACATTGGTCTATTTTACGGTAGAATCCGCGGCATAATCTCAAGTGAGAATACACTTATAACTATTAGACAATAAATCTTATATAATCGCTTCACATAAAAAATTGGTTAACCGATGGGTTGCCTCACATGAACCATTATTGTAAGTGTTAGACAAGCAGCTTATAGGACAAGTAGTTCTGAGTAGTTCTTATTGCTGTTGAAACAAAAAAAGTTTTTTCATTTTTTGAATTAGAATTTTATGTTATTTTATGTTCTTTCTATCGTAAAATTTTGAATGACGCTTAATTTCAATTATTAATTATTTAATTGATTATACACACGTGTTTGAATGCTTTTGCAATTTTTGAAGGCAAAATGCCACTCACATCTAGTTTATAAAATTAAATTACATAATGTTTACTTACATTTTTAAAATGTATGCAAATATTACGTAAAACATAGAACAATTATTAAATTAAATATTAATTCAATTATATAAATGATTAGGTACATAAATCGGATATTTTTGGCATTTACTTATAACCGGATATAATCTGATATAAAATGATAATTTTACGGCTATATAAATTGGGAATGGAAAATCTCTCACACTAAACTTTCCTGATTCGAGTTAAAGTTTATCTTTTCTTGCGGATTTACCTTTGGGTAGAACACCTATTAAATATAACTTTTGAAAATTCTCGAAGAAATTGATTAATTACGATTTTGAGATCAGGAAAGCTTGCTTTCATTGAATATATTTATGTGCGCATTTGCTATCAAATTGTAAACAAAAATCTGTCTTGGTAGGAAGTAATAATATTTTTAATGATATATTACAAATGACCTTTTTTAACTTTTATGCAAAAAAATATTGCTTTTGCAATTTTTATTAAAATTTAAAATATATTAATTTGATATAAATCAATTTTTTCTTTTGGGTATAAAGAAGACCTATACCAATAAGCTATGATGGTTGATCAAAACTGATTTCATCAGAACAGATCGTATCCCGTATTCTGTTCCTGTTACTGAACAAAGTAAATTGTCATCGATTTGGATGTTGGAAATATTGTCAGATAAAAATTGAATTTGCTATTGCTTTGTTACATCCATTCCTGCAAATTCTTTTGCCATACTCTACGTGCAACTACCATTCTGTGGCTACTTCCAAAAAAGTTATCATAGTCTGAGCTTGTCTTATTCACGTTCCTTTAATTTCATATTGCAAACTTAATTTGTTTATATCACTTTTCTAAATCTCGCTGAGTTTTTTTCTAAACTTTGTGCATTGAAAAAAAATGATCAAGTAGTAATGGCATAATTCAAATAGGGAAATACATTTTAATTCACATATTAATTTAAAATTATTTTTTAACATGCATATTTATTTTACGTCAGTTTTTTATTTAGTTATCATTTATAGCGCATAAGAAAAGCGTCAAATTTGTTAACCTTTACCATTATTAATATTGTTGCATAAATATAATAATCAAGCTGGGAAAACAATGTTATGATAAAACTACTTGATAAGATTTTATCCTGGTAATATACTAAAGCTTATAACGTATAATATTAGCATATTAATTGAAGTTCTTACAAAAAAATCATCATAAAACCTTATATGTTTGAATATATCCGACAAAATCATATAGTAATTAATTTCCTAGAATTATTTTCATACGAAAAACGATTGTCACGCAAAGGGAATCAAAGAAGGTGTGTTTTTGCGGATTATATATGTTCTCGTACTGATGTACAATCAAGTAGTAATTATTTTTCTCTCTGATTAGCCTTTCAAATTCAAGGTTTTAGCATTTAGGCGTTAACTTAGTAATTATATATAATTACTTGCTTGTTTTCTGGCTAATACTGGATAATTTATCAAAATTCTTTCTATTATTACATATAAATATTTTAATCAGATTTGAGCTATTTATTAAATACTATACAAAGTCTCTTGATAATGGTTGAATTTAGTTGGGCGAGGCACAAAGGTCCATTTTGACTTTGAGCAATTATATTGTGAAAACTAAGCCGAGAGAAAATAGGTCCAATGTCTTATTTTTAATTTTAACGAAATAATTTTTTAACGAAATAATATTTTACGAAATAATAGCTACATTATTTTTTAACCAATGCAAAATATAGGTTTAATGTGTACATTTTTGCAGAAATAACCTTAATTTGGTATTTTTTTTTTTTTTTTTTTTTTTTTATTTATTTATGGCATTTGACCGTGTGGTCATTTAGCCTCTTAATACATAAATAATATGTTACAAAATTACAAATACCAGAAAAATACATTTTTTGCAAATTATTTACAACATAATATTGCGACTTAATTCTTAAAACCTTAATAACTAATACTTTATTTTTAGAACTATATTTTAATGTTACATTTTTTTAAGAAAAACAGAAAAATTTTATATATATTTTCATCATTAGTAGAAAAGGCTATTGTAGTGTTAATAGGAAAAATGAAGTTATATTTATTCAGTTCTTGTAGTAAGAATGTTCTTTGATTAGCATAGAGCTTGCACTTCCAAAAGATGTGGTCAAGATTGTGAATTTCCAATCCGCAAGAACAGAAGGGATCTTCTGCCATGCCAATTCTAAAAAGATGAGATTTGCAGAATGTGTGGGCCGATCTAATACGATTGATAACGGTTATTTCGTCTCTGTTCAACCTAGATTTGGCAAACCATGTACTAAAAGACACTTTTGGTTTGCAAAATTTAAATAAAGTTCCTTTTCTGCCTTCCATATCATATTCGTTTTGCCATAACCTTAATCCTTGTTTCCTTACCCAGCTTTTTAAGTCAGACGCAGGAGCCTTTCTTGAAGAAAAATTTGATAAACAGGCTTCTTTTGCAAGACCATCCACATATTCGTTTCCATGAATATTGGAATGCCCTTTTATCCATACTAATTTAATCGTGTTTTTATTTTCTAAGACGCTTTCTATTTTATGGATGGTGTCAAAAATTAAATCATTGCAATTTTCTTTAGGATGGTTTAGAGCCAGAAGTGCGGATTTACTATCTGTTAGGATTAAGGTTTTTGGAATCTTTTCTTGTATAACAAAGTCTAAAGCAGCATTGATACCTGTAAGTTCTGCCGAAAAGACTGAGGCAAAATCCGGTAAATTAAATTGTAAATTTTTCTCTCTATTAGGTACATAGACAGCACACCCCACTTTATTTTCTAACTTGGAACCGTCAGTGTAGATAACAGTGAAATCTTTCCATTTCGTGTCTAACCAATTCTCAAACTCCCTGTTTATTATACTTTTATTGGAATGATGAGTCATATAATTGAAATCATTCAAGACTATATATTTCTTGGGAAATGAGTAATTCCAAGAATGACTATGATACGATAGTTTATTATTTGTAATTATTCGATCTTCTAGAGGTTTCAAATTATAAAATCCAGTTATTAATGGAGGTGTCGGTCTATTTTTCCAATAGTTTACCCTAAAATGTAAAACAGCTAAATGTTCCAATTGTTTCGGGATTCGTTCAGAATCCGAGTTGAATTTTTTAATTAGAAATCTATTAGTTAGTATTTGTTTCCTAATGTTTAATGGGGCTTCCCCGGCTTCCGCTAAAATGGCAATGCGAGGCGTTGACCTCATAGCCCCCAAGCACAGTCTTAAAGCCGAATGTTGAGCTTTATCTAGTAATCCTTGTATATTGGTTGAGATTCCTCCGTAAATGAAGTATCCATAATCAATATGTGATCTAATTATGGATTTGTAGATAGCTAAACATGAACTTGGGTGGGCTCCCCAGTCAGTTCCAACCAATCTTCTAATGATATTCTTACCTGTTTCACATTTTTTGATCACCTCTTCAACGTGCACCCGGAAGGTCATCTTTTTATCAAAGGTAACCCCTAAAATTTTTACACTATCGTATATTTTACAGATCCAATTCCCCATATTGATTTCTTGAGGGTAAAGGAATTTTCTATGCCTGGTGAACAGGATACCCTTTGTTTTGACCAAGGAAAGGTTCAGGTGGTTGGACCTCATCCATTCTGAGACGCCTGTGATCGACAACTTCATTTTGTGAATGCATTCCTCAAGTGTGTTGCAAGAAATGTACAAAAATAAATCATCAGCATATTGTAGTTTCTTAACATCGTCTTGGGTAACTTCAGTAAAGTCCGACATATAAATATTAAATAATAACGGACTCAA